TTCATTGTGACATAATTTTGCCAATACTTAGTATGGTCAGAGTTCTTAATTTTTGCTAATCCAGTGAGTGTGAAATATATCTCATCGTGGGTTTTTTTTTAAAGATTTTATTTATTTATTCATGAGAGACACACAGAGAGAGGCAGAGACACAGGCAGAGGGAGAAGCAGGCTCTATGAAGGGAGCCTGATGTGGGACTCGATCCAGGCATTCCAGGATCATGCCCTGAGCCTGAGGCAGACGCTCAACTGCTGAGCCACCAGGCATCCCTCATCGTGTTTTTAATTTGCACTTCTTAATTACTTGATGAAGTGAAAGCCATTTCAGACGTTTGTATGACATCTCAATTTTCTCTTTTTGAAGTCCCTTTTCAAGTCTTTTGTTCATTTTTCTATTGGTTAAACTGTTCTTTCATTAATAATTTGTAGAAAGTTCTTGTATCCAGAAGATACAAGTTCTGGATACAAGTTCTTTGTTATTAATAGAAGTTGAAAATATCTTTTCTACTTTTTAACTTCACTTAGAATATCTTATGATGAACTACTTTCTTGATTTTAATGTTATCAAATTTATCAATTTTTATAAAGTTGGTGCTTTTAGTATCTTAAGAAGTTTTATCATACCATGAAGTTATGAAAACATCTCTTTCTAAAATCTTTTTTTAATCTAAAATTATCTTTTACATGATTTTATGTAACCTAAACCTTTATAGTATGCATTCCATAGAAAGGTTTTTAATTCTTTTGGAAGTAGTTTTTGGTATGGTGTGAGTTACAGGGTCCTATTTTCAAATTTTCTACATGGGTAGCTATTTTCCCAGCATAATTTATTAAAAAGTAAGATCTTTCACCAACTGCCCAGCAGTGCTACATTTTCCTACCAGAAATAAAGTGTCCATATGTTCATAGTTTCTTCCTGAGCTCTCATTTTTGTTCCATTCCCTACTTGTTTTTCCCTGGGATAATTGTATGCTATCATGTTACTGTAACTTTGAGTCTTTATATTTACTAGAGCAATTCTTCCCATCTTTCTTTCCTTTCCCAAGAGTTTCTTGACTTTTTGCACACCTATGTAAGTTTTAGAATCAACTTGTTGTATCACACACACATACACACACACACCACACACACACATCTTACTGTAATTTTGATTGAGATTTCATTGAATCCATAAATCAATATGGAAAGAATGGAGAGTTTTATAAAACTGAGCCTTCCAGTAGAAGAACAGATGAATATGATACCCTCCCATGAGGCTGCCATGCTGCAAGAAAGTCAAGTACATGGGAAAACCACATACCTGTAAATTCTCCCATTAGTAGTTCTAACTTCAAATCCTTTCAGCCCAGGGGCCAGGCATGTGAGTGAGCAAATCCTCAGATAATTCCAGTTTTCAACTGTTGGGTCTCTCCCAGACTTTAAGCCTTCCCAGCTAAGGGTAATTAATAAGCAGAGACAAGCTTTTTTTTTTTTTAATGAATTCTTGACCCATGAAAAATGAGCAAAATAAAATGATTGTTGTTTGAGATCCCCAATTATGATGGTTTGTTGTGTAACAATAATAAACAGTAACAGAGAAGTCTTTAATTTCTCTCAATAAAGTTGCATAATTTTTCAGTAAAGTCATACATGTTTGTTAGATGGATTCCTACGTATTTGATACTATTAAATGTTATTGTAAATAACATTTATTTACATGCCAATTATGGGATACATTTTTATATCATTTTCAAACAGCTTATTAATTAAAAATTAAATTTTTAAAAACTGATTTGTAAGCTGAAACCTTATTAAACTCTAATAATAAAAAAATTTTTGTACACATTTTTTTGTTTTCTATATGTACTACCAGCATATTTTGATGTTAAATTTTGCCAATTTTGTTTCTTTCTTTTTAATACATGTTATAATGTACATTTTCTTTCCTTGCATGATTCTTCTGGCTACAACCTCCAATACAATGGCAATTAGAGGTGAGAGCCAACAACTTTGTCATAGTCTTGACTTAAAGTCCAGTGTTTCACCATAGGTTTATTGTAATTTAAGGAAGTTTTTTCCTAAAGATTTATTTATTTGGGAGAGAGAGAGAGTTGGGGGATCAGAGGGCGAGGAACAGAAAATCTCAAGCAGACTCTGCTGAGTGCAGAGCCTGATGCAGGGCTTGATATCATGATTCTGAGATTACAACCTGAGCAGAAAACAAGAGTTGGTCACTTAACTGGATTGTGCCACCCCAGTGCCCTAAGGAACTTATTTTTTATTTTTAGTTTACTAGGAGGTTTTATTAAATGTTTAAAGAATTATTTAATGCATATTCTGCATGTGTTGGGACACATGTATGTTTTCTATATGTCTCTGAGTTTGGTTTGCAGATATTTTGTTTAAGCATTTTGAATTTGTGTTATGATAGAACTTTAATTTTACTTTCTTGTCTGCCTTTGGTTTTGGTGTCAGTGTGGTACTAGCTTTATATATAAATAAAGAAATATTTCCTCTTTTTCTGTTCTTTTTATAAGCATGAAAGTGTCTTGTTTTTTCAGCATTTGGTAGAAATCATGTTTAGAATCATCTGACCCTGTGTTTTCTTTTGCATGTATAGATTTATAACTATGGACTTAATTTCTTTCATTGATAGAGGACAAGTCAGGATTTCTATTTTTTCTTGAATTAGTGTGTTAATTTATATATTTTTGAAGCATGTTTCTATTACACTTATAGTTTATATATTAAACTTATAGTTTAAGTAGTCTTTGCAACGAATTCTTTGAAATGTATTTTTATTTTTTAAGATTTTTATTTATTTTAGAGAGAGCATGCGAAAGAGAGAGAGAGAGAGAGCATGGGGCTGGGTGTAGGGGCAGAAGAAGAGGGACAAGCAGACTCCCCACTGAGCAGCAAGCCCAATGTGGGGCTTTGTTCTTGATAAATCTTACAAAAGATGTATCAGTTTTAGACTAAAAAAAAAAAAACACCAACTTTTCTGTTGTTTCTTCTGTCAATTTTCTCTAATGTTTCATTGTTTTATATTTCATTAATTTCTGCTCTTATATGTATTCCCTTTCATCTATTTTCTTTGGCTTTATTATGTTTTTTCTTTTACTAGCTCTTTAAATTGATTGCCCAGGTTAGTTATTTTCAACCTTTCTTTTTAAATACAAACACAGAAAGCTTTAAATTTCTTTCCAAGTATTATTTGTAGATGCCTCTGACAAGCTTGATAAGAAGTATTTTCATGTTCATTCACTGTTAAGTATTTTTATGTGATCAAAATTTCTGTGATCCATGTATTAAAAGTACATTTTTCAATTTCCTAATACAATGTGTTTTTAGTTACCACTTTCTTCTTAATTACTAACTTAATGTGTTGTGATTAAATATGGTCTTCATGCCATAGAGTCCTTGAAATTTTTAGAGAATTGCTGAGATCACTCCTTGTTTAATTTTTGTAAATTTTTTCTGTGTGCTTCAAAGTGCATGTGTATTTCCCAGTTGCTGGGTGCCCTGTCCTATACATGTCTCTTGGTTCAAAGGTAGTATTTGTGAGGACAGTATTTGTGTACCTTATTGCATGTTCTAGTGTATTTCTAATGCCCTTTGATTATGAGCTCCTTTTGAGCTGGACCTTTATTGGCCTATTTTTAAAGTACATTCCTCCAGAGCAGACTTTGCTTCTGCTGAGCACAAGGGCACTATCACCTGAGACTTTTAAATGATAGCATTGGTTTAGCATTTTTTTGTTTTTGACCACATAGGTGGTATAAAATCAGGCCCTACATCAGCCCTCAATGAGTGTGGCTCGAGGTTAGGAATTTCCAGTGGAGAGGCAGAGGGAGGCATATACTGGCATTGTCTCCCTCCATGGGGTGGGGTTTCTCCTACTTCACCCACTGATAAAACTGTTCCCCAGAGATCCTGGCTTTTCAGTTGGTGTCTGTCTGTGAAGTCTGCTCTTCTGAGAGCACTCACAATTGGTATGTATCTTCCAAGCAAATGCTGGCTCCAGTGTTTACTTACCCTTGAGAATTTGTGCTTTCTCATAGTTTCTGACATCTGAGGAATTCTCTTAACTTTCTGGCCAACTTAACCATGCATTAAAATTATGATTATATATTTTAACTAGCATTTTTATTTGTGCAATACTTGGAGGAGTTTCCACATTGCTAGAAAGATAAGTCTATAATGTAATTTGGAAACAAAAAAAAAAAAGAGAGAGAGAGAGCAATCCAGCATCAAACTATGATTTCAGGTGAAAATGGCTCTGGATTTAATTTTCCACTTGGACTATTCCAGAGTATGGAAGGAAACTGTGTAGTTAAAAGGGTAAGTGGAAAAAGAACTAGAGAGCATGGAAGAGTTCGCATTACAAGCTCTTTCCTATCTGCCAAACCAGTACAAAAGTTTCAGCTTCCTCACTCTGAGTTTCCATATCTATAAAGAAATTACTACTGCTACCAGATTTGTGAAGCTTTCATAAGGAAACATATACAAAAATACTGTATGTGGGACTTTGCATAAAGTAAGCACTCAGACAATGTGGGGTGGAATTGACTCTGAGACTCCTATTAAGATTTTGATAGATGCTTCCCAGAGTTTGCCTAGAGACCTAGTCAATGCCTCTATGAATGTGATACTTTCAAAATGAACATTTACACCAAATTGAATAGAATAGTATAAGGCAATTCCCAGGGAAAAGAATTGTTTTGAAGAAAAAGGCTGGGCTCTCTTTAAACACAGGTCTCAAAGAATTCCCATAAATTCCTAGGAATATGATAGATTTAGCCACTATCCAGAAACTGTGATTCTCAACAGGGCTGCTCATTTGCAACAGTAGTAAATGTGAGACACTTCCTTGAATCTTAGAACCAGGGATAAAATGTCCCAATTTACTGCTTGATTTCTTATTTGATTGTTTTCATATGCAAGGATTTTTGCTTTGATTTATTTATTTATTTATTTATTTATTTATTTATTTATTTATGTATGTATGTTTTGTTTTAACAGACTGGCTTTTAATTGCTGGAAAGCAAGAGAAAAAACTTCGGGTCATCTGGGTACACAGACTGGGAATTCCAACATGCCTCAGTATCAGGCAAAATGTAAGGGCTTCAATTTGGCTCATTCAGGGTTAGTGCAGATTATCTTTGACATTTACTGGATGGGGATGTTTTTGCCACAGGAATGAAGTGTTTTCCAGTTTATTTTAAACTGAGAACTCTCAATTCACTGTGATAGTTGGTTTGGCAGAGTTAGTTGCCTTTAAAAACTCCTCCATCTTGAATGAAACTTAAAATGACTCTGAGCCCGGGCGAAGAAGGAAAACTTGATGAAGTAACCCCTGGGCACTGCTGCCCTATGAGTCATAACTGAGGAAAAGCATCAAGGGCTTTTGTCACTTCATGTCTCAAAGACGTTGGATGATGTGGGGAATGGACTCCAAGCGGTCATCTGGTCACACCCATGGCTTACTCCCTGACTTGTGGACTGCTTCTCATGTTACTTAACTAAGGCTACAGAGAAACTGCTTCAGTATATACCACCCTCAGCACCTGCATGATCTGTATACACATATGTATGTTGGAAAGGACAATGAACCAAAAGAATAAAGATAAAATTAGGTATTTTTACTAAAGGTTAGAAGATTTTAAAACAAAGAAAGAAAGTAGTGTAACTCAAATGAATTGCCAGGGGAAAGGCCAAGTTCATGAAAGAAACATATCATGGTTTCGCCTGCATTTCTTTTTGCCTCTGGACATGTAAGTATGAGTTAATAAGCTTATAATGTGCACTATAGAATATCAGGCTCTTTTCAAAGACTTGTTATCTAAAGTGCTTACATTATTGGATTCAGTTATATGTATGCTTATTTCCTGATGACAAATCTGGACCCAGAGAATATTTCCAATTACATCTATTGTTTCATTATGAATATCATAATAATAATTTTTCTATGATTTATTCTCTAGAATACTGGCAATAAAAAGACACTAATTCTTAGATTATTATGTTACCCTTCCCTATCAAGAAAACTTTCATAACACAAATTAAGAGCAGCATCAAAAAAAACAGGTCTCATATCTAGCATTTTGGTCCTCTGAAATGAGATAATTTTTTAGAACACAATAGACACTTAAGTTTAGGTCCCTGTGGGATTGAATTTGATTTTGATCTTCAAATCAAGCATTAAATATTTTGCTAATTGATCAAAATTACATGTAATCTATATATAAACTAGAGAAAGATCTGTTTTCTTTTTAAAACACAGCTTACCCCGCTGTTGGACAAGAGTTTCTAACCTAAGGCTGCAAATTCCTTGAAATGTGCAAACGTGTGTGTGTGTGTATGTGTGTGTGTGTGTGTGTGTGTGTGTGTGAAAGAGAGAGGGAGAGGTATTGTATGTTGATATAATTTTTTTTTCCTGGGGCAAGGTGTATAGTTTTCATCAATTCTCGAAAAGGTCCATGATTAAGGATCCTTACCCAAATGTGAGGATACATTTTTAGATAAGTGATTTGGTTATGAGCATTTTTCTGCAGATTGAAGCTGGTTGTGTCATATTTCTGATAATCTTTTTAAAAACATTTATCATCAACAATCTTAATGTTTGAGATGTTAAAATGTAACATTCTGGTAGTGTTTGGAAAAGAAGTGCCCAAAGACAGCTTTTGGGAGCTCCACAGGATTTTACAATATTCTGAAACTATGGTCTGTTTTCCTGAGGCATTAATAACCAAAATATGTGGCCCTATTTGACTTGACATCTTAGACTTAAAACTCACTTGTTTGATTTTACTTTGCCATTTGCCACGTGTTCATATTCATAGCTCTCCGATAGTATCTAAAATTATGAAATTCAATTTTGAGGTGATTGGAATTTTGGAGAGCATTCAAATAAATTCCCTCCCTCCCTCCATCCCCTCTTTCCTTCCTTCCTTCTTGTTGTTTTATTCTTTGTACTTTTTTCAGTACTCTAAAAACTGAATGTGTTTTGCAAAGCTGTGCAATATTATAAATAATAGTAACAAAACAATAAAGCTTGATTACCTAAGAGCCTTCTTTCTTTTTTTTATCACCTATGATTTATTTAGGAAATACGGGGAAAAAAGTTCCTACCTCATTAAGTAGGGGAAAAAAACTATCCTCATTAAACTAACATCTGATCTACTGTAGTTTTAACTTTCATTTCAAAGCACTAATAACTTGTCATTTGTAGTAATACTTTGAATAGCATACCATCCCTGATTGACTGCAGGGCTATAACTCAATCACCAGCCTCTACTGACATCGTGATCCCCAGGGGTGCGGCTTGAGGCTTTAGGAATGGCAGCTAAGTCCCAAACCTGAATTACAGCTCCGTTATTCAATCCCAAGCCATGCTTTGTTATTTATAGTACACAGAAAGAGAGTGTGGACTTTTCGAAAGAGGAAAACAATAAATCAAACTAACAAGATGACTGGCTTTAATATTAAAATGTAAAACTCTATGATGTAGAGGTAGAAAGATTAATGAGCATATGACGTAGGGTTATTAAAGGTGTGATGGGCAGGAGAGGGAATGGATTATGGGGAAATGAAGTATTTCACTGGAAGACAAGTTTGGTGGAAGTTTTTAAGTGACCAGCTAATAGAGCTGGTCTTATTACCATAGTGACATAACCCAAACCCACAGTCCTTTCTGTAACACCCTTTCTCCTGAAGTCCCGGAGTCTGGCTGTCAAACAATCGCAAAGGTGTGCACCCACTCCCCTGTGTTACAGCACTGCTCCTGTCGTTTTCCTGCACCTGTTTGCTCTCCTGGGATGGGTAGTCGTGACATTTGGGGAAGCCTGAAACAAAGGAATAATGAAGTGATGGTTTTCGGGAATGACCACCAAGTAATACACTTACCAAGGTCATTTGTCCAAGGTCATCCAAAGATATTAATGTAAGTTAGAGGAATGAGAAGAAAATAATGTTTTCTGATGATTTGACTTGAGATAGCATACCAATTAAGATAGTTACGAGTTAATATTGGAGGATCTCAGATCATTGGCTCCTGTTTCAGTATAACAGAATCAGTTGCTAAAACCAATTTCTCAGCACGCACCCTTTAACCTTTGCTGTGGTTGTTTTTGCAATCCATTTACCTGATCCCTCCTTCCCCTCTCCTTCATCATCCCTTCAATACCTTAAGCCTCATTTCCTGTCTCACAGTTAATAAAAGAAAAATGTCACCCCCATAACCCTTACCCAGGCCACCCTCCCTTTCCTTCAGATTTATAGGTCTTTGTCTTACAGCTAGTTTTTTCACCTTTGTTTAAGTTTGTCGGCCTGTCAAAAACTAGCAAGTCCAAACATTCAGAAATCTTCAAGTTGATACTCAGTGTAGCAATTGAGGTAACTTTTTATTTAAGTTATTTTATTTGTTTGTTTGTTTTATTTAAGATTCCTGAGGTATTATCAGTGGAACCACTCTGAAACAAGACAAATCTGGTGTTAAAAAGCAACACAGCCACCCCCAAAACAACCACAAGCCTCAACAAGATATGACTGATCAGTTTTTTCAGGTCATATGAATGTCCCTGGAGGTCCAAGAGTGCCACCCTGGATGCTTGCTTTCCCTTCGGTCACTTGCATGGGGTCTAAGAGGAACCTGCTGCTCTGCTAAATTTCACTCCAGAAATGTAATGAAGTAAAATTTCAGGGACTGTTTAATACAGTTGTGTATGGAGAAACAAACATTTTAAAATCCATGTATTTAAAGGTTGTTCTCGCTACAGAGCATTTATCCTTTAAAAAGAATTTTAAAAAATTCGTTATATAGGATTTGGTTTGCTAGCATTAATCAGTTAATTGAAAACTAAGGAGATGAAATACATTATAAACACCCTTGTATTGTTAGAGTATTTTATATTGCTTACTTTCCTAGAAGGAAGAGATGATCTCGGGATAGTAGAATTGAAAACAACCTTAGTTAGGTATCTATAATATTAATTTGCTGGAACTATCATAAAAAACTACCACGGATTAGGTGCCTTAAACAACAGAAATTTATTTCTTCATAGTTCCGGAGGCTAGAAGTTTAAGATCAAGGTATTTGGCAGAGTTGGTTTTTCCTCAGGCCTTTCTCCTTGGCTTGTAGATGGTGCCTTCTGGTGTCTCACATAGTGTTTTCTATGCCTGTCTGGGTACAAATATCTTCTTATAAGGACACCAGTCAGCTTGGATTAGGTCCTGCCTAATTGGTAGGTCCTACCTTAATGACCTTATTTTAACTAAATCACCCCTATAAAGGCCCTATTTCCAAACAGTTACATTCTAAGATATTAGGGATTGGGGCTTCAACATATGAATTGGTGGGAGGGGGGACACAATTCAGTCCTTAACCGTATGGTAAGATCTTTGTCTTGCAAAAGAAGAAACTGAGACCCGGAGAAATAAAGTAAATTTCCCAAGGTCACATAGCTAGTTTTTGGCATAACTGATAGAGGATTGGGGCTCACATTCTGTAATCATGAGTACCTACCTGGCTAATATTTAAATAAAAATAAATAGGAGTTAGTAGCAAAGACTTGAAATCCCAGCATTTGGCAAATAGTGGACATTCAATAAATATCTGTTGAATGACTGACAGCCTCTCTTTAATGAGAAATAAGGACTTGTTACAGATTTGATGACTTTTAAAATATGTCTAAAGATGATAAATGGATAGAAAAGTAGATAGACGTTGGATAGACAAGTATTGTCTGAGACCCATTTATTTAGGAATCATACCTGAAGTAGAGTCCCACGTCTTCTATCTAAAGCGTACTTTTGTCTCCATTTTAAAGCCTCTAAACACACACAGTGTTATAGGAAGGTTGAATTGGGGGTTACAAAACAGGGAGCTGCAAGGAAAGTGAAGTACAGAGTTCATGTTCCCATTAGCGAGTGATTAGATAAAAGTGCTCCTGCAGATGAGCTCTTCCTTCAATCACTAGGCTCTCCCAGGAACACAGATGCAGTTTGTTTCAGGTCTGCCTCTCTTGCAGAAGCAGGAGCTCAATGAAGACAGATGCTAAGATCTTGGTACTTGACACAGACACTAGAACTTAGTAGTCACTTGTGAATGAAAGGAATTAATGAATAAGAGAATATAGCTATCAGGCACTGAATCATGGCATTAATCTAAGACTAAAGACTAAAACAATGGCTCATAGAAACCCCTGACTTTGTCCACAGACACAGGAATTACTCAGAAGATACATATGCTGCTCACTGCTGAACTGGGAAAAGTTCCTCGTTAATTATTTCATGAACCAGTTTGTGCCTCAACATTGTCTCCAACACTTAAAATGCCTTTTCTTTCCTTTTTTAAAAAAAGATTTTATTTATTTATTTATTCATGATAGACACAGAGAGAGAGGCAGAGACACAGGCAGAGAGAGAAGCAGGCTCCATGCAGGGAGCCCGATGTGGGACTCAGTCCTGGTCCTCCGGGATCACACCCTGAGCCAGAGGCAGATGCTGGCGCTGAGCCATCCAGGCGTCCCTTAAAATGCCTTTTCTATGACTTACTCATTAGTTATCTCATAGAGTAATTTACACATTTATAGGACAGCCTATGTATGCATGGATCCATTCATTTTGCTTTTCTTAAATTTATTCTCTTCTAAGTAGGAATAGCATGATTGCCTGAATTGTATAGCACATCCTAGGTAGGCACATCACAAATTTATTTGGAAAATTCTATAAGCCCCTCTAGAGGGCGTGGGCTGAGCACCAAACACCTTCCTCTTTTGGCTCAACCAGTCTTTTTGACCTTTGGTCAACTGCTCTCCCTCTCTCTGAATCTCTTATTTGGATTTTGCTCACTAGAAATAATAACCTATCTCTTTGCCAGTGTTCAGAAAGGGTTAAACATTGGAGAGTCCCTGGCTTCTTCTGAGTCACCTTCCTCCCCATTTTTCGGGAAATTTTTTTTTCCCTTCCTTTCCTTGGCATTAAATAATCTTTGTAGTTAGTATCTTCAGATTTTATAGATAAAATGACAATTCAAGCTAATAAAAAGAAGTGTAATTGAACAACCGAAGAACACGAAGTTTCTACTAAGAAATACATCAACACATTATTAACAAGCCAAACGGAAGTCTTTGTCCTGCCCTGACTGTATGCAGAACAATGCCAGTCACTCCCTTTCCTTTCTGGAGGCACCTTTTGCAGAAAGTGTAAGCCCAGGAGACTCTAAGAGGAGCAGTAAAGTTTGCCTAGGTTTCCAAAAGGTGCTCCAACGAGGGGGACTGCAGGTGACCATCATCTGGCATTTTGGAAAGCAACCTGAGAGAAAAGTAAAGTCCTATGATTTATATTTTTTAATGGCAGAAAACAGTCTTCTGAATCAAGTCACTTAAATCCTTATGGACTATTTTCAAGCTAAGCTAATACTGTGCAACTCTTTGTATGTGACACAGCAGCTCCCCTTCCTTCTCCCTTGAGTCTGGGTGAGTGGAAGTTGGCAGTGAGAGGGAATGTTGAATATTGCACACAGGGAGTTGGATAGGAATGTTGAGAGTTAAGGAGTAGCCTTGCTTAACCCTCCCTCTTCTCTTAAAATTGTCCGGAGCACGTTTGCTCATACTCCCTAAATTTAAAAATCCCAGGACCCAAGTGAAACAAATCAGCCTCCCTCCTAGTGGATTTGCTGACTCCCAGAAAGGTAGAGACAGTCAGTGTGGAGGGCAGGTGTTATAAATAATTGGTATTTTTCCCACCTACAGTTGTTTCTCCCTGTGAACTCCTTAGTATCCCTTGGTGTTACACTGAATAATCTACTGTCTTGAACTGTATTCCTGTTGTTTTTTTTTTTTTTTTTTGGCATGGTTCTTGCCTCTCCCACAGATTCCAAGCTCTTTAACATCAGGACCAAGACATATAATTCTCTTTTACTCCTAAAACATCAAACCTAGCACTCAGGAAATATGATTTAATTGGTTGATGAAAGAGAGGAACAAATGATTTGAATAATAAGTGAAGACAGAGAAAACTTAGGAAGATTTGTAACATTTGCAAAC